TTTACAGGTAACAAAGGGTGAAACATTGACATAGTGTGAAGCTGGCAAGAAGTCAACCTAGGGAGAAAAAAAGTGCAGCTGTTCGGAAAGCTGATGATCAGACTTCGGGTTTCTTCATTATTTAACATGGATGGGAGTTAACTCATTTTTGCCCCTTGGGAAGCTGCCTCCTCCATTTGGAGACTTTGTGTGGGTGATTCCAACTGAAATGGCTAAATTGTACAACAGCATGTTTAATTATGTGGTTTTATACATGCAGATTCACACAGTTCTTGTCCTATTGTGTCCCATGTACACACAGAACTCTGGCTCCACAACAGTTAAATATTGATGGAACACAATCTTAATTTCTGGGAACACTGATTATTATGAGTTATTTTTCAGAATCAGGATGTTAGGGCTATGCATGGTGTGTGGCTCTTATGGCTCGCTATTGCTGCTCCAAGATATCAAGTAATCTATTTGAATAAATGTGCAGTATGTGTAGGGTGAGCTGGGCTGAGGGAGAACATGTGCCAAGGGAGGGATGACTCAGTTTTCTAAGTATTTTGTATTCTTTAATGTAATTTGAGATGTCTTTTCCATTTGTGTTCAACAATAAAATCACTTCTGCTTAACCCATCTGAACATTTTTTAGCTAATTTCAAAATATGTATGCACTCAATACTGTCATAGAGTACTACATAACCATTATATCAAATTTGTCACATTCACATTTTATGGCTGCTTTATATTATGGTTCTTGTAGCACCTTGCAAATTCTTAGGCTCCTCTGCTGCCCCGTCCCCCCAGCAAGAGTTCTACAGGTGCTTATTCATCAACCAACCCCCCCCCCCTCAAAAATACAGGTCCTCTGACAGCACCTCTATTGCACAGATTCTGGATTCCAAGCTCAGTACAGCAAGAGTCACTGGGTGTAACCAATGGGCACACACAAATCCAGGAAAACAGTCCAGGAGTCAAATAGGCCAGGAAACAGCATGCTTTGCAGATTGCTGGTTGCTTGATGCTGTTTCTTAAGTTGATGCTGTTTCTTAAGTGGCAACTAGGATTGTTGCTCTTGCTTCCTGCCTGAGCTCCTTGATTCTGGCTTGATTGGCAGTAGAATTCCTGAGCTAATGATCCTAGGGGATTTTAATTTGCCTTCACTGAGCATGGGGTCAGAGGTAGCTTGGGAGTTCCTAGCTACTATGGCAGCCATGGGCCTGACCAAATTGTCTAGAGGTTAACTCGTAGCAGTAATGCACCTGATTGGGTTTTCATGACAGGTCAATGGCAGAGTGTTCTAGATTTGAAAAAGATACAGATTTCTCCCTTGCCATGGTCAGATATTCACAGGTGAGCCTCCTTCCTCAGGCAGGCTAGGCCTATTGGAGCAGCCAGGCCCACTGATGGACCTGATTGGGTTCCAGAGGGAGTTTAGGGTTATTCCAGAAAATCTATTTCTTGATGCAATTGAAGCCGTTGTGGCTGCATAGAATAGCAAAGTAGCAGCGGCTTTAGATTGGATTGTGCATGAGTGGCCTTTCCTTGTCCAGGGTCCCTGATTCTCCCTGTGGTACATGATGGACTTAAGGGAACTTAAAACAGGCTAAGACACTCTAGCGTGCCGAAGGCAAAAAATCATAATATGAAGATCAGCCACTCTTAGGGTCTACCTTGTGGCGGTAAGAGCAGAGAAATGTAGCTTTTGTAATTTCCTCTGCCAACAGTCACCCAGTGTCCCTGTTTCAGGTGACTTGATCCCTGAAGGGAGCAATACAAAGTTCACATAGCAAGGGTGTCAAACAGGTGGCCAGCGGGTTGGATGCGTCACGTGCAGACCACGCCCACCTCAGCTCTGCGAAGGGGAAAAACATCGTGATATGTCACATGATGGCAACGTGATACCGCGAGTTTGACACCCATGACATAAAGGGTTTCTCTGAGGAATATGCTGCACATCTGATAAAGTAGCTGACATTCACTCTATGTTGGATTCTGCTTTAAAGCAGAATGTGTAGAGGAGATGGGGTTATATCTTGCAAGAGGACCCTGGGAAGAGTTTGGGAACCTGGGGAAGTGGACAAGACCCTCTCAGCTGCTAATTTGGCCACTTGTATAGTAGATACATGCCTTCCTGTCCTGACTTATTAAAGGTGCATGAGAGGGGAGACGGGATTGTGTCTGGGTGGTAGTTTACGCCCCCTTGAATGAGGGAGTGGTCCAGAGGTGGGTTGCTCCCAGTTTGGCCTGGATCAGGCGAACCAGTAGCAGCAGTGGGAGGCTCCACCCACCCGGATGCTTCTGTGCATGCACACCAATGTCGCGTGCGCACATGAGCGAACTGGTAGTAAAAAAAATGGAAACCCACCACTGGAATGGTCCTACCAATTCTTAAAAGAGGCAGTGATGCACCCCCCCCCTTCAGAGGACCATTGTGTGGTCCAACCAAGTTTGACAGTTTCACCCACTCAGCTGGGAGTCTGACAGCTCCAACAGATCACAAGAACAGTATCAGAGCTCTGTGTCCAGAAGAGTGCAGTGTTAGGAACAGCTAAGATATTGCACAGAACCCTCAAATTCCCAGGCCATAGAGGGCCCAACATTGAGGAAGACACAAACTAGTTATAGGGTGAGAATGGTTAGATCTATATACAAGTATAATTAAGTTTCTTAATGAATGTACGAGATAAAATTATTCAAAATGCCTGCAAGCTGAAGAAAATAAACTGAGGAGACAAGATTTTGTATTTTTCAAACATGAGATTACCTCACAAAAAAGAACTCTGTTGAAGTTTCTAAAATGGAAGAGTTGATAAAAATGGGAATTAGTTTAAAATGCAGATTTCCATTCAAACTTACAATTCTGAAACCACAAGGAGCAGAGAAATCTTAGACTCGTAAGGGTAATATTATACCAGCCTAAATTCAGTTGCAAAGTGTGGTAATATTCTAACACTTTTATTACCTTGTTTGTTAGCAAGTAGCCTTATGGTTAAGATACAAAATTTAGCAATTGGAAAGGTGACCATTGTCATCAAGAAAAACTTAAATAACACTGATTGGAACAGTTGGGAAATTAGAGGTTGAGTTAATCAAGGAGGAGGTTTTGTAGAATATTTGCAGTTTAAAAAGATCTGTTCTAGGGTTTAAATTTCACCAGAGGCAAAGAAGACTCCTGAAATCAATGCAAGGAAGGGCCTTGGAGATTAAAACAAGCAGACACAGCTGTCCAAGAAAGATTACAGTATAGGTGATAAGGAGGATTCACACAGAAGCTAATAGAAGAGAGAAAATATTACCAAGGTTGAGAAACGCTGATGTATTCCATATCAATTCCCACTGTGTAATTTGTGCCCAGTTTCTGCTACTGTATATATTCCCTTTGTTCCCTGCCAGTTCACATATGTTATCGCTTTTAAAATGTAGCGTCCCTGCCTTCAAAATAAACTCTCTCCTTCGGTGGAGCAGTGCTGAGAAGTGGGGGAGAAATCTCCTTTCGGGCCTGCCTAACTCCACATTTTCGCTTTCTGCGTCAGCTTCCCCACCTTCCCATCAGACTTTCATTTTCGTTTTTGAGTGCCAGGTGGACTCCGTGATCTGAAAGTGATTGGAGGTCTGGATTGCTTTGCGCTGTTTCTCCCAAAGGTGCTTTTTCAAGAGAGAACTGGACTTTCTGTTTTTTCTTGGAAGACGTTTCGCTTCTCGTCCAAGAAGCTTCCGCAGCTCTGACTTGCGTTGGTTCGCTTCTCTTCGCCTCTCTTCGAACCGGTGAGGCACTTGGGGTGTGGCCGAGGCCATGCAGAATTAGTCTAAGCGAAACGGAAGCTCTGCTCGCCAGGCGCTGGGTGGGGCCGACCTACGGTCTGTTTTGCCAGGGGCCCGTGTTTATCTGAAACGCAGTTCGGATAAAACCAGGGGCGCAGAGGATGGTGGTTGCTCCCTTGGCCTTGGTAGAAAATGCCTGAACTATAACCGCCAGCACGGAAGGGAAGGGAGGGGCTCGTTTCTTGCCACTGGGGCAGAGGGGAAGGGAGGGTCCGGGGTTGAGTAGCCTCTCCATTGCCGTCTCCACTGAGAGATTTTTCGACCGAGCGGGTCAGGGAGACCCAAGCTGCAAAGCCATAACGGGCCTCTGTAGCAGCTATAAAGTTTTGCCTTTCCCGCTATTATGGCAAAGTTGGCTGGAATGAAGATAGGAATGGTATTCTGGCTGATTTGCAAGGTCTGGGCTGCACAATCTTGTTTTATCACTTCCTTTCTTACCTGGTTTCTCTACAACTTTTTCAGCTGAAAAACTTTCAAGGCTGTCCTTGCTAACCAATAGAGAAGTCAATGCGAGAACAGGTAGTCCTCGGCTGACAGCAGTTCGCTTAGTGACGATTCAAAGTTACTATGACGCTGAAGTGACATGACCATTTTTCACACTTATGACTGTTTCAGCATCCCCATGGTCATGTGATTTATATTTGGATAGCAATAGCAGTAGACTTATACACCACTTCACAGTGCTTTACAGCCCTCTCTAAGCGGTTTACAGAGTCAGCCTATTGCCCCCAACAATCTGGGTCCTCATTTTACCCACCTCGGAANAAAGTTTAAAAAGTAGAAGACAAGGCAAGTTAAAAAGACACAATATGCACTCCACCTTAGTGGGGCTGGAACTCATTCAAGAGGTCAACAGCCCCAGGCCTGCCGGAAAAGCCAGGTCTTAATAGACTTTCGGAAGACCGCGAGAGTGGGTCTAAGTAAGTCTACTTCTATATATGATGAATGACACAAGCTCTATAACATAGGGTAGCTCTAGAATATGGTAGATTAAAAAAAAACCTATATTAGAATGTGCATGTCCCCAGCCTATTCTGAATATTATAGCAGACAGGCATTACCTCTGCTTCAGGATATTGCTTTTGATAATATGAACAAAACCAACAAGCACAAAAATTTGTTGGAGCAATCACTGGTAAATATCTGCAAAAAACTGTCCTCTAGAATTATTCGAATCTCATAATCTGTTGTGGCCTGCTGGTAGCAGATTCAGAGAGTGAGGAGGTTGGGGAGGAACATGGGCCAGTCCTGGAGTCTGGGGAAGGCTCTGTGTTGGAGGCAAGAGAGGGGGTGTTCCCAGTGTGCGCTTGCGCAGAGTTGTGAGACAAATGGAACAGCTAAAGAATGGGTTCAACTTGGGAGTAAGGCTACAGGTGGACGATGAATGGCCCCTCCCAGAGGAAATAAAAGGAGCGAAAGGGGAGTGGAGTTTGCAGGAGACAATTAGTTCACTTAATTGATTCGTGACTCTCAGACTCCTTGCCAAGTTTTGCAGATATCGGCCTGTCAGCTCTCCAAGCCAGGTCTGTGACTGCAAATCCTCCCTTGAAAGACTTTGCTGGATGTGAATGAGCAGAATGCACAGTCAATTAATAAAAGGGTTTTTTGTCGGGACAATTAGTTTGCTTCATGCTCTTGGGAAAGCCAGGTCAGAACATAATCCCTAGTGCCTAGTCAATGTACCCTTTGATAGAAGGTACTAATTGTGGAAGAATGATATAGATGTCTATGAAGAAGCAACCCTGTGAGATGGAGGATCTCTTTTGATAGACCACTTAGTTAGGAACAACAATCTGAGGTGGCGCAGTAGTTAGGGTGCAGTACTGCAGGCCACTTCAGCTGACTGTTATCTGCAGTTCAGCGGTTCTAATCTCCCCGGCTCAAGGTTGACTCAGCCTTCCATCCTTCCGAGGTGGGTGAAATGAGGACCCGGATTGTTATTGGGGGCGATATGCTGACTCTGTAAACCCCTTAGAGAGGGCTGAAAGCCCTATGAAGCGGTATATAAATCTAACTGCTATTACTATTGCTATACTAGAATGATGGGGCCTTCTCTTTTAGATTCTCTTTTCTGGTACTTTCCTAGGTTACAAACAAAAGTATGCAAAGTATGTGAAGGAAGAATGCAAGAATATAGAGGAAAGGAACAGCCTGTGTGGTGAGAGCACTCCTTTGAATTCATGCTATGCAGAGCTGCTTATTATCAAGAAGCATCAACCCCAAAAGCAGAAGGAGCATGAACTCCTTGCCACTGGCAGAAGGCACCTGGAAATCCTGAGAACCAATAGCGATCATTTATCAACCGACATCGAAGATTTATTTGAGCCTGATAAATCGGGAATTCCAAAAACAGTGGTGTTGCAAGGACCTGCAGGGATTGGGAAAAGCATGACTGTGCAGAAGATCATGCTGGACTGGGCTGATGGGCAGCTCTATCCCGATATGTTTGATTATGTATTTTGCATTCGTTGCAGGGAATTGGACTTTGTTAAAAAAGCCAGCAGCTTGGCTGAACTTATTGTTGAGCAGTGTCAGGACAGAGACGCCCCAGTGGAAGAAATCTTAGCCCACCCTGAAAAACTGCTCTTTATCATTGATGGTTTTGATGAGCTTTCTCACTTTTTAGAATCTGAAGGTAACTGGTGTGAGAAGCCTAATTTAAAGATGCCTTTGGAAAGTATTTTAAACAGCCTGCTGAGAAAGACACTCTTGCCAGAGTCCTTCCTCTTAATCACCACAAGGCCGGGTGCTCTAGAGAGACTGCAGCAATGCTTGAAGTACCCCAGGTTCACCGAGATCGTTGGCTTCTCTGAAAAAGGTCGCCGTGAGTTTTTTTCCAAGTTTTTCGAAGAGGAGAAGAAAGCCAGCATTGCCCTGAGATTCATTGAAAATACGGTTGCAGTGTCCACCATCTGCTTCATCCCAATGGTGTGCTGGATCATTTGTTCTGTGATTAAGATAGAACTGGAAACTGAAGATGAGATTGCAGGCACCTTGGATACCACAACAAAAGTGTTTTTGCAGTTTTCTCATATTCTTCTTAAGCACGATAATCCCAGATGGAAAAACTCCCCTCAAAATGAGCTCAGAAAACTTTGTTCTTTGGCCAGAGCTGGCATCATGCAACAAAAAATCCTCTTTGAAGAGCAGGATCTCAAAGAACATTGCTTGGATGTTTCAGCTCTTAAGGATCTCTTTTTAGAGAAAAGAGCTTTCAGGGCAGGTTTGGGCAGGCGCAGTCTCTACAGTTTTTTCCATCTCTGTTTCCAAGAGTTTTTTGCCGCCATGTGGTATATACTGCCAGCGGAATCAGCGGAAGAGATGGATCACGTTATGGCCGACTTGCAGAGAGTATTGGATGAATGGGAGATGCCAAATAATCAACATTTTGCACTAACTGTATGTTTCATATTTGGCCTGACAAATGAAAAGACACACGTCTTCTTTGAGCAAACCTTGCAATGCAAGATTTCTGACCTTGTAAAACCGCTCTTATTACAGAAAGCAGAAGAAGTAGCTGTTAAGAAGCCCGTTCAAAAACACTATTTCCTGCTGAATTTTTTTCACTGCTTGTTTGAGAGCCAGGAGCCAGAATTTGCAAAGCGTGTGATGCCTCACTTCCAAATTATTGACTTTTCCTTCAACACGCTGTCCGTGTTAGACTGCAAAGTTTTGGCGTTTTGTCTGCAACATAGTACAATTGAGGATCATTCCCTTATCTTAAATATCTGCAGGTTGCAACCTCATCACATCAAGGCTTTGGCTCCAGGAATTAAGAACTGTACAACTCTAGAGTAAGTGATCCATTCTTTCCCGTTTCCAAATTTAAATTAACACTGAAACAGATTTTAAAGAGTTTTTCATGTTTTGATCCTGCCTTTGCTAATTGTGCTGCCTTCTCACATTTTGAAAGAATCATTTATGATTTTGTTCTGCAGAATTATTATATACACAACAGTGTGAAAGCACAGCTGACAGTTCTTTAGCTGGTGTTGACCTCCATACTCAAGGTCTTCCCAAGATGTCGTAATATATCAGCATAATATATGTGCACATCCAAGCAGTGTAGCCTTTTGTAATTGACAGATGGAAATTTTGTCAATGTGCAGATTTTGTAAGTGCTGTCCAAGATTTTTTTGGTATGGTACACAGTGTGCCAATAACAACTGGGGCCATCACAGTTTACATCATAATATTTTAACTTCAATTAATACTTTGTGATTCTTCCAGTACTTTATCTTCTATTCTATCCTGTGGTATTGCTACATCAATTATCCACTTTCTTCTTTTTAACCACATTGCAGGTTTGGAGATAACAAACTTGGAAACTCAGGAGTGAATGTTCTCTGTACCATTCTGAAGCAACTGGGTTGTAATTTGGCTAATTTAACGTGAGTAATAAGGGAGCAAAGGCACATCTAAACAGTTGGGTGCATATTTTGTCTTGGAAGAATTGGGTATCCCTATCTATCCTGATAACTAGCAGCCAATTGGGTAAAATTCTAAAGCACCATATTTTTCAGACTATAAGATGCGCCGGAGTATAAGACGCACTATGATTTTGAAGAGGTAAATTTTAAAAAAGTTTTTGTACTCTGCAGGCCTCCCAAGCACTCTGCACCCCTCATTTTTTAAAAAAAGGGGGTGCATGTAGGGCTTTGGGAGGCTTGTAGAGTGCTCCTGGAGGCTGGGGAGGGGCAAAAACTAGCAAAAAACAGCTCATTTTTTACAAAAACGGTCCGTTTTTTGCAAAAAAGGGGGGGGATGCAGAGCTTTGGGAGGCTCTCAGAGTGCTCTTGGGGGCTGGGGGGCAAAAGCAGCCCAGTTGTTTGCTCTTTTTTGCCCTCCCCAGCCCTCAGGAGCACTTTACAAGCCTCCCAAACCCTCTGCACGTTTATTTTTGCAAAGGGAGTGGGGTTTCGGCAGGCCAAAAATGCTGTATTCATTGTATAAGACGCTCCCAGATATTCACCCTCTTTTTTGAGGGAAAAGGGTGCGTCTTGTACTCTGAAAAATACAGTAACTAATTAGGCATTAGATAGTTAGAACTAATATTCAGAACAGCCAATTGATCATTGTGACTAGTGAAGTGCAAGGCAGGGGTGATGAGAGAATGAGCCATTCCTAGAGAACTCCAAGGCAGCAAATAACTACTAAAAACATACAATGATCAATGATCATCTTCAATTCCAGGCTATACCTGAAGGCCTGCCTTCAGTCAACTGAGGTAAATGAATTCTTTGCTTGGATGTTTGCTTTCTGCTGCTTACATTTTTCCCCCCAATGTTCCTCTTAAGCTGGGTGAAGCATAACTTAATGAGAAAGTCTAGGCATTTCTTGTGCTGAATCTTCAAGTCTTTTTTGACTACATGATGTCCACAGGAGCTTATGGATTTTTCCTCATTTAGTAATATATGGCATGTGATAGTTCTGTATATAGTTCTATGTTGGTACAGACCTCAGTGTTATGACCACATGCAAGTGAGATGGACTGTTTTTTCTCATAGGTCCCCGGGGAAGTATTTTGAACAGTTTTATGCATCGGGATTTAATAATGACTCTAATCATCAATATGACATTACTGGGGGGGGGGGTGTATTTTTTGTGGGATCTCTACATTTTAGCCTGGGAGGGGATCAATAACACTGCCTACTTGGCTTCACAGTGAGTATAAATGACAAGGTGCCCCCCCCCCCCAATTTAATTGATATACACCAACACCATGCATTTATCATTTAAGGGTACAAGCTAGATAATGTTGGTGCTAGCTAGTATCTGTGGTAACGTTTGTTGAATCAAGTCTAAAGCATAAGGCAATATCCACACCAGGAAGGCTCTGTCACATCAGCCAAGGGTTAATTCAAATATAATTGGTTAAAGTGAGATGGGGGTGGAGAGTACCAATAATTTGTTTCTCACACCCACATACCTGAATTTATGTGTGTGTTCTGATTTTGTTATCAAAAAAAGATTGAGCAAACTTGTAATGTGGCTTCTAATTTTCTCTTTGTCAGACTTGATCGCAATTACCTCACAGATGCTTGTGCCCAAGAGCTTTGTGCTGTTCTCAGAGCTAGTCACAGACTTTACAGTTTAGCTCTTCAAGATAACTCCTTCACCGAGAAATCTGCCCCATTCATCCAAGACTTGATGGAAAATTGCACCACCTTGAGTATCATATAGTGAGTATTGATAAAGCTGGAAGACAACATTTGGCTTGCCTTCTGGCAAGTGGATAATATTATTCTGCAATTGTAGGCGCTGAGACCTACTGGAATGTTGGTATTGGTATCCTGTGGTACCATTGGGTTGAGCATTACAAAGAATGGGAGACTCAGTTACAGTGGTAATGGGAACACCATTGGAAGACTGGATTAGAGACACATCATGATGGAGGGAATCCTGTCCTGACCAGGGCAGGAGATCCTATACCACACCAGACAAGTGGTTTCCAGCCTTTTGTTGAAAATTTCCAGGGATGGACACTTGTCAGAACCACCTTAAATTACCTCACACAGAGCACTGGCATGCATAAGAATATGATGTAAACTTGTTTTTTAAAAGGCATCTTTAGTTTGCGTTAAAACAACTTCAACACACGCAATGTTCTGATTGCACCACAAATGCAGTAGTCATCCTTNGGTCCACTGGTGGAACCTCTTCTAACCGGTTCGGTAGATTTGATGAACCAGTTCTACCGAATAGGTGCGAACTGGTAGGAACCCACCTCTGCTTTGAATGCTCACTAAACTGTTGTAAATCGAGGATTATCTGTACTGCTCCCAACCAAAGCAAAGGCCTGGTTAAATAAGGCCTCAGCCCAAGTTCCTTTACTACTCTTGTTCCTTGCTACTCTTGTTTTAAAAGAAGGTAAGACATGATCCCAAGCCTGGCCCTGGTTGATTTGAGTATGAATTGAAACTCAGACATGGTTGGCGATTAATGAGTGCAAGGTGGTTAAATGCCTTTTCACTGCAGGTTGTAATTTGGGTATTCCTGTATTCCTCCCATCTGTCAAGATTATGCAAAATCCTTTCCTAATTCTAACATTTACTCTGTTGTTGTTTTTCTGGCTTCTAAAACATGTGGTGCTCGTAGCTTGGCTATCACCTTACAATGGAGACTGGAGGAGGAAGGAGGAAGGCCTTGCTGGTAGATGCTTTAGAATGCCTTGAGGAAAGCGACTTTAAGAAGTTTAAGTCTAAGCTGCGAGATGTAAAAGTTCCTCAGGGAAAGAATATTCCACGTGGTCGGTTGGAAAATGCAGACCGGTTGGATCTGGTGGAGCTCCTTGTTCAATTCTATGAAGAGAAAGCTGATACAATAATGATAAATATCTTGGAAGACATGGGTTGCAAGAAAATTGCTTCCAATCTCAGCAAAGGTATGGATGTGTTGAACCATAATTAGAGTTGCAATATTTAGCCCCAGAGTGGACAAGAGTATTATAGTATGGACAATCTCTCTAGCTATTGGCTGCACCTTAAGGAAGTTGCAGTAAGAGTATACACATTTGGGTGAAAGAAGCAGTGTGACTGCACCTTTCTCTTCCGTAAACATGTTACTTTTCTGGGTCTTGACACCTACCATGCAAAGCCAAGAAAACCAAGCTCTAGTCCTGCCTGAGCCGAGGTGGCGTAGTGGTTAGAGTGCAGTACTGCAGGCTACTTCAGCTGACTGCTAGCTGCAGTTCGGCAGTTCACATCTCTCCGGCTCAAGGTTGACTCAGCCTCCCATCCTTCCGAGGTGTGTAAAATGAGGAGCCAAATTGTTGGGGTCAATAGGCTGACACTGTAAATTGCTTAGAGAGGGCTGAAAAAGCACCCATGAAGCGGTATATATGTGTAAGTGCTATTGCTATGAAATCTGCCTGAGTGACTTTGGATCAGTCACTCAGCCCTAGTCACTCACAGAGTGGTTGTGAAGAAATTAGTAGGCAGGAGTATTAGGTATATTTGCTGCTGATTTAGGTATATTTGCCGCTGAGAATGAGAAAGAAAGAAAAAAAGAAAGAGGAAAGGAAAGAAAGAGGAAAGG